TATAGATCGTGAACATTATATTCAAATACCGGATATGCCTTAAATGCACCTTTAAATTTCTCTCTCTGTTTATATATGCACTTTATTTGCGTTTTAAATTTTTTAACCCAGTTTATTGCTCCATTCACTATATGTATATGCTTGCTCGTTGATGTTGATCTAGAGGCAAGGACGAGTGACAAGCCATAGACTTCATCTTCGTTGATTTCAGCTAGGCGCTGAACGAAGTGCCCCATAACAGGCAGTTTAACAAAGTGAGAAGTCCGGGAATCACAGGGCCCATACTTTGGTGGTTAGAATATTTACTGATAGAGTGGTTTTTCTCGGTGAGAGTTTCATTGACACAATCTTCATGGTATCCAGTCACCAGTAGTGTCCCAAAAGCCCCGTTTTTGATCCACTGCTGTTTCTGGCTTTTCACGAACGAGATACCTTCTACTTGGAGTAGCCAGTGCCTGATCTACGCTGACTACCTTAAGCTGTGGCGCACAATCCGGTCGGAAGCGGATCAGGAGCTGGTCGAGCATATGGGATTTGCCGGTAAACATCTTAAACTGTTCCTACATGCGAATCGGAAGATATGGTTTTACTACCAGTCACTGATTTGGATTTCCCTGCTGCAATAATCATCTGAGGAACGAGATTTGGGTGTTGTCTTTACCAGCAATCTAGAACCTCTCATGCATTTTTTAAATTTTTTCATGTGATGAACAACCGACGGGAAAAGCCCCACAGTCACGACGACGTGCTGTTCAGTTATGGAAACCGGTAACCTAAGCCCCGGGACTTGGTATGGGGAACCACATTAAGCCCCGATAGGTTAGGCGTGGTATCAAACTGGACAACAACACACCTGCCTACCACCAAAGTTGGTTGGCTGTGGCGGAGCTCGAACCTCGAGCCATAAGGTCCAAAGCACGCCGGTGACAGCGACTAAACCACCGCGCCACGACCACCCTGCCGAAAGGGCTTATCGTTCGCTGCGGAGTTTGTTGGATGCCAGTCCTCTACTCTTGAATGATTCCAGAGATTTCAGCGGGCTGCTACACGCGTCGTCATAGGACTGCATTGAACCAACTATGAAGACTGGCTGGCGGGGTTGTTTCCTATGGTATAGAGATAAGTCAGCGACGACTTGATTTACACCAGGCGTATCGTTGAATGATTTTGACCCGAAACTGCAATTGGAATCCCTCCTGATGAGCAATGACCACAACAGGGGATTTGACTTGACGCTCTGCAAGACACGGTCGAACGGTCTGCTTCTGATTTATGGCCTGCCAATGAGGGTGACAAATCTCTGAAACGCGTTGACAGAGAATGTGGTGGAAGAGTCAAACGACAGCATATTTGAACTCAAACTTGATAGAGATTTACAGGTGTAATGGACTGGTCTCAATATCTAGCAAGCTCAGTGAAACCTCCTGTGATGGGGCTAATACGGGAGATTTGTCACTGCCTTTCCTACTTGAAAACTTCAGGCCTGAGCGATAGGTTGATAACAGAGAACCGGTATTAAGTTTTAAAACAGTGGAATTCGTAACCAAGCGGTCATTCCGGAGGCTCTTGATGAGCTAGCGTTTAAGGTATTTGCGGGTTGTGTTAAACTTGACATTTGGGGGAATGGTTCTGCGGTCGTCCAGGAAAACAGCTGAAATCGATTATATGATTCGTTTGTTTTGATTGCGCGCCAGAATCCGTCATTATTTTGATTTATATTCGTATAGCTTTCCTACTTATCATACGGTATCCATTGAAACCTTCAACAGTTGGTGGAGTTAAGAGACGATCAGAGAGATCAGGATTGAAGGCCAGTTTGCAGATGTTACTGACATTGTATTGTAGGCATCCGCTTCTGGTGGCACTTTCGGTTGTTTTCCCGGCATAGGGAGAATCCAGCTCGTAACAGAGCGTGATCCATGTCCACGGGTATTGACCAATGAGAGCGGCAGTATTCGATATATCCTCGGCAGTGGTGGCTGATGGTGATGTGGTCCATTTAAGTCCGGTTCTCTGACGCCTCGTTCTGTAGCTGTTGAACTGCACTGAAACATCGAGATTTACAGCGCATAGTCGGCTGCTGACTGGAATCCATTCCAGAAGCGATCGCTTAGCCCTGGGACTTGGCGCAACCCCAACACCACAAGCCTCGGACGCCAAATTGCCTGACACGCGGACATTGAAACTTAAGGACAGGGTTGCATTTGAAGAGCACAATGTGATGGCGTCTTGTACGCCTGTTTCGGAGACACCACATCCGTCTGAATTTAAAATTCCAAGGATTATAGCTTGGTCGGCCCTTTGATCGGTCTGATATAGTGTGCAAACATTGAGTGCAGCCAAGTGAAACAGCGATTTTGGTTTTAGCAGCGGTATAGCTTTTGGGTGGTCGATCTTACTGGTGACCGACTGAGCGAGTTCTTATGTGTGGCGTAAATAGGAGATATCTAAGATTTGGGAATGAGAGGAAGAACTGGACAGATGAAAAAGAGAAACAAATTAGACTGGCTGCCCAGATCACAAACGGGTGTTTTGTGGTGCTTCAAGGGTTGAAGTTATTTCCGGATGTCCTGCGCAGAGTGGGTGCAGACATTTGAGTATCTATAATTGCAGAAGTCACTTACTTCCAGTGACTTTAAAGAGGCGAACAAGCGGAAAAAAAGAAACCCTATGTCCACATATCCCGTTTATTCATGATGATCACCGACCGAATTCCTGGTATCGAGCCACAAGATCCCACTAGGATAGACTTGGTTTTGCGCTGAGCCAGAGGTGGTGGTAATGTTTGGGTTTATTGCAGCTCAACCACCGTCACCCACTACTTGAAAATTACCATGTTTCTCGATCGTCATCAGCTACATTGCATACATCATACAATTCAGAAGCCGAAAAATGCACTTCAGACACCTCTTCCGATAACAATTCACACAGTGGGATTAATTTAAGAAAACACAAGCTGCATATTATCACAAAATTTCTTTGCTTCTCTCCATCATTAACTCCTAATGGGGTAAGAAAGTAAAAATTGTCCTTTTTCTGAACTGCTTGAAATCTGATCGAGCATACTTTAAGTTATACGTATATTTTTTATAGAATATAGCCTGATCGCAATCTACAAACTTTTTTCATATAAGTAGGCTTTCCTTGTCACTCAGGCAATCAACAATGTCGTTCATTTAGGCCATATAAATTTCCTTTCCATTTTAAGAGCCTTCATCTTTTTACACCATTATTTTCAGGTGAATCCAATGCTGAAGTTTCAACAAAATGCATGATCAAGAACTAAGAGTTGATATTGGCCGGGATCGTCGTACGTCCTTCACTGGACACAAAGGATCTTTAGACTATAGGTAAACATGGGTGCAGATGTTTTATTGCTTACAAACGTTAATAGGAGTGTCAAAACGGTTTCGGATGTTGCAGAGGAATGTGTGAACGCATATCTTCGTCCTTACTTCTATTTCAATGCAGAGTGGGTGTTCGCTGTTCTTCATTTCATTTGAGATTGTAGGCCTTCTGCAGAGTTTAGCTCTTCGGACATTGATGATCAAACCGACCTTGTGGACTATGAATCCGCGTGCGCAACAACATTGGGAGAGGTAAACAGTACCGACACATGGAAATCTAGTTTTAGGCACCTCCTGTTCCCCCGCGCCCATTCGAGACTCGTGTACCTAGTCTAATATCATCTTTGGAAAACTTCAATAACTTTGAAGATGTGTTACATAGATGCCATCAGAAGCGATTTTTCTCAGTGGATGCCAATCCAGTAAGTCACATATTACCAATACTTATGAAGTTTTTCCAGTTCCTATTGGTTTACACATAAGTGAATATTTGATGAAAACTAGGTTACTGATGGTACATTTTTAGCCTAGAACGTTTTTACTCATACCATATGATTTGTGGTAGAAAGATTCCCATGGACAAAAGTCATACAGTAAATGGGAGAGTAAGGGAACATTCACGCCAGTTCGATCAAGGACACGTTTGGGAAGGTCAACTAGTTGGCTCAGGTTGTTGACCAAATCGAAATGTTCGGCTTCGTACCCCAAAGAAGAAGTNATCAGTGATGATTATGAACATTAAGACCTCCCATGGCAGTTGGGGTCGGTTGCAAACCAGTCTTCTATGTTCAATGATAAAAAAGTCATTGGTGGAAGATTCGCAACTAGTGGGGGAACGATATAAAACACAGAAGTGATGGTTAAAAGAAGGAAGCCGAAGGTTCCGCCACATCAGCTGAAGTTCACTATCGGAAAAGTCAAGATTTGGGATTCTTGATGCGGTGACTGATCAATGGATAAAGGCGCAGATACCAGCTTTGGGTAAAAAGGAGGAGTGAAAAGTCTNGAAAAGTCTATTTGAGTAATTGAATGTGAGTGGTGTCTGAAGAGAGAGAGATTTGTGTTTCGGTCAAAAAAAAGGACTCGAGGAGAAAAGGAATGGAGAAATTGGTGTACAGAATCAATGTTGCGGTTCAGCCTGCGAATGTTGATGAAGGTGGTCAGTGCATACAGTGAGCGAGAGAGCGTGCGTGATTTCGTGTTGTCATGTTCATGTTATACAGAGGAAACCGGCAATCATGATCTTGAGACTTGGAGTGGTGGACCATATAAGGTTTCAATAGATCAAGCCTGGTAGTGAGCTGGACGTTTCGATTTTTACAACTACTGCTGTCGTCCCTGTGCTTGTTTGTCCGTGCAATGTACATAGGGATTAAGTAGGTGTACTAACGTCAGTATTTAGGACATTCAGCCATGCCCTTTGGTGTTTCCGACTATCGCTTAAATTGGCTCCCGTGTTTCCAACCAATAAATCCAATGCGGTCGATTCAGCTAACGACCATAATCAGGATTTTCTTACCTTTATTCTGAGGTTTTTCGAAGATGGTGTCATCTTTTACCATCCATTGGGATTTACATGTGCCTTCTAGGTAGAAATTTTTGTGACACGATCGGCTACGTTAAAAAGTATAATTAATTGTAGATGTGAACATCCGTAATCAGAAAAATCCGTCGTACGCAGATTTATCTAAGGTTTTGGGTGATATACCGCACAGGTTAAATAAATAATAAATATCTTTTCACTTCCTTTTTAATTTATTGAATATAAAAATTCAGGACTGGGGTCGGTCATACAAAGGCTCTCTGGGAACTGTTAGGACTGAACGAACGCTAGCGTAACATACATGACCTTTCAGCTTCAGTGAAATGTCGCGTCTACACCAAAGGTATTTTTTTAAATATTTACTTCCCTTTATTGAATACGCAATGATACAGTTTTCAGGAAGGGGGAAGCGGCCAATCAAAGGGCTGCGATACAACACACAAATGGGGAAAGTCAGGCGGTGGTGGTGGGATTCGAACAGTCGTCCTTCGGGATAATAATTTGGTGACGTTTCAGTCCTGCATATGCTGCTCGAGCCTTTGAAATGTGAGCGGCTATCTCCTCGTCTGCGCTTCCGTTATTGGTCACGCAATTACCCAAGTATGATAAGTGATTCACTACAATTAATTCCTGGCCGTTTAGTTTCAGAGCGGAGGTAGGCGACAGTCCTGCAGCATCACTTTGCACTTTGAAGGTGCGAAACACATAGCGAATGTGGCAACCGCACTTGTTAGTCTATCAAGAGCGCTTTGTGCGTCTTCCAAACATTCAAACAGCCAGACGATGTCATCAGCGTATTCCGAATGGCACAGTTTTTCTCCAGCTGTCCATTCAATTCCTACACCTTGGAGACCATTAAGTGTGTCCTCAAGTATGTCGTCTACGACGAAGTTGAACAGGAACGGCGAAAGAGAGCATCCTTGACGAACACCGCTGCTGGTGACGAAAGGCCTACTTAGTTCGTTGTAAACCCTCGGTCGACCAGAGGTTTGTGAGTACAGTGACCTCAGTAAGTTAACGTATTTCTGTGGCATTCCTTTTCGAAGAAGGGAGCCCATCAGTGCTTTGCGGTTGACTGAGTCGAACGCCCCTTTCAAGTCGAGACACACTGCAATCGTTGGTCGACGGTGGGTGTGACGCAGATCAAGGACCTGCGGCAACATAAAAATTTGATCAATACATCCACAGCCAGGCCGGAATCTGGCTTGCTGTTCACGGATGTTGATCTCTCTTAAAGGAGTCAGACACCAAAGTATGCCAGAGGCTAGCATTTTGGTGGCGATCGGGATCAAACTGATCCAGCGGCGGTTTTCGCAATCGTTGTGAGATTCTTTCTTGAAAATGGGAACGATTAGTGATTCTCCCCAAGAGGAAGAGATGCGTTCTTGTGCCCAAATATTGCGCAGTACGGTAGTAATTGATACGAGGTTATCACCACCCATCTTGAAAAGAGTGGAAGGGAGCACATCCGGTCCTGCTGCCTTTCCTCGCTCCATAGCTTGGATGAAGGACCGAATTTCTGCTACTGTTGGAGAATCGCACGACACCGCCCACGGAGCTTCAGTTACAGATGAGGTGACCTGTATAGCGGCAGGCCAATTGAACTGTTCACTGAAGTGTTTCACCCAGCCATAAAGTCGTTCATTCCTATTGTGAATAGCTTGTCCACTCTTATCGCTGACGGTTTCACCAACTGGGGTTCGCTGACCTCCCGTATTGCGTGTCAATCGGAACATTCTTTGTCTATTCCCTGATGCGACTGCTACTTCCATTTCACCAGCCATTGTTGCCCTCCAATTTTTAAGGGTCTTTCTTGAGGCTCTTCGTCAGTCGACGTTGCAGACGCCACCTAACTTTGTTTTGATCATGGCTGGTCGGGATTTACCGTTTTTGATCCATCAGTGCTACAGGTCAAAAGTGAAAGTAACTAAATCATTACGCCACCACCACCCATTTGGCAAAGATGACAAGATTTATAATCTCTACCATTCAGAATCACATTTGGAATCGTGTCTTGTGTTTCGTTTATACCAGTCATTACAACCGAGGGATGTAGAATGTCCTGAGTGAGGTTGCAAGGAACTGCTCGGTTAAAAACCTTTTAAAAACAGAATTTTTCAAGTAGTTCAGTATAGGCCTAACCAGCATAGAGCGTAGCTAATTTTCTGAGAGAGCCTATATCGCCGTGGAGAAGAGGCAGAGAAAACTAACCGCGGTAATTCGTACTTTTCTGGTTTGTTCACCATGACGCTTTGTATGGGTTTGCAAATACAATCGATTGAATAAATTAACAGTCTTTGTTTCCATCATATTGTTCTCGTAACTGGAAGCATAGACCTTGGGATGTGAAGTGGCGAATTTCATACAAACTCAGCAGATGTGATGTGAATTTGCTTACTATTGAAGTTTGAAATCAGGCGGCTACTACTTTCCCCACTCGGAACCTGTCCTCTCGGATTGCACTGTATGGTTGCGAAAAAAAACACGGAAATTCATTGAGTCGTGGGAATTAAGGTGCTCTGTGTAAACTTTGTATTGCATTGCATGCACCGACTTGTACCTTGAGTAAGGATAGGCAATCTGCCAAAGTGTTCAACTAACAATTGAAATAATTATCTTGTATTGGTTTTTGGAAAATATTTTCTGATGCCCTTGCTTGATAGCAGAATCCGTGTTCAGAGAGATCTTGTTGCCGATTACATCAGGCATATTTATAACAAGTTTTCTAAGGTATGTCACATAACACGTAAGAGATGATATAAAGTTAAGCAAGGTAGCACCCTTAGCTACAAGGCGCCTTCCTCAAAATTTGGTGAAAATCACTTCTTGTTATCTTAGCCAATCCTTTTTCTTTGCAAAATTAGTAAAGGAATGGGAAATTTTGTCGAACTGGAAGAAGGACAAGAGTAGAATAGAGTAGGATTAGTGGATTACAGTAAAAGGTGTCTTCGAATGTTTTAGACAAAAAATATAAGAAATGCAATGATGAGAACAGTGAAGCATCATATCCTAGCCACGACCGAAGCCGTAGGTATTCGGGTTCACACATCCCCGTTGTGCTCCCAGAAAAAATTGTGTAAGCACTTAAGCCCTCCTGGCCCACTTCATCCACCCCAACACGTATGGAATCATTCGAAATTTTGACATTGTGATCAATTTCACAGAAACGCACATGCTCACACGTTTGGAGCCAGATTTGAACCATCAGGACTCGAATTTCTCAAAACTCCTTTTGTTCTTGTTGTTACAAGTACTATTTGATGTGATGTGATGGTATGATTACTATTGTATTGTATTGTGTATAACTTTTGCAAGCACTGGAGCTCACATTTCAGTTAAAAAATCATACACGCTAACCGTCACAATGTACATAATCAACGGGGAGAAAAGATTTTACAGGCATGAGGACATTTCATAATCCAAGATTAAGACAAAGTTCACTTATTGTCCGCTCTTTGTGTATGAGTAGACGAGCAAGATACTGTATGGGTGAATTGCAGTATGCGTTAATTCGAGATGAAATTTGGCGGAATTGAGCGCGTTTTGAATAATGGGAACGACAAAGTGTCAGTTCTGCATGCAATGGATGGTCAGGATCTGCGAGAATCCTCTCAGCAAATTTCACACGGGAAGTTACATGATACTCTAAAAGCTTTACAGCTAATTCATTCACGGGATTAGCTGTAAAGCTTTCAGAGTATCGTGAATAACTGGAAACGAGTTTGTTCCCTACGCGTTGTTGTTCTCAATGTGTTCTTTGGTACTATTCGAATATGATTCCTTTTTGAAATCTCTCGCCAGAAAACCTTGATTTTCGGGATCAATTTGCTACTTATATTCTTTGATAAAATGTTTCAATACCAACGTTTTACCTACCACTTGGATTTGCTATTCATCATCACCACTTGCTTTTAGAGAACTTCTGCTCACAAATGTCATTTCACTATTCTCAAAGGTAATGAAGAAAGTATACCTTGCCGCCTCTCTATCCCTCTCTTAGTGTACAGGGCCGAAATGAATCAAACTCCAAACATCTGTCACTTTACAAATGTCAAATTGGGATAGATTTTGCCACTGGGCTACTTTGCCCTTAAAACATATTTGGACGCTGGGTTGTCTGCCAGCCTTGCTGCCCCGTATCATTTCATCGCCCCCCCCCTCCACCCTCACCATTCTCGTTTCAGATTCAACCGGCCGCGAATCGTATGCTCGGTCCGGGCTCGTCTCCGCGTATCCCCCGTTCCTTTTTCGATCAGTTCACTGATGCCAGCCTATTTCTGCTCACCGATTTCCTCCAGTTGCAAATCGATCAGACCGAGATTGAACCGGTATTCGGACGTGCTTTCCTCTATAATGTGCATTCGCGTTCACGTGTTTCCGAGACGTTTCACTTTGACACCAATTCGGATAACTTGTTGGGCCTGTTTAACGGCAGTAATAGTGATCAGCAAATAGATTATCGTGAATTAACGACCATGTCAAAAACCGGCCTATTTCGGGTGTCCAAGCAGCGAGGTGCGGATAAATTCACCGGGGCGGGAGATTCGCTTCAGCGAAATCCTCCCCGTTCAACACCGATCAGTACTCGAGATGTGGAAAGTCACTCGTTGGTTACATTAAGCGAGGAAAATGATGGCTTTTCAAATTCGGAAAGTGGTTTGATTCTTTCTTTCCGTGATTCGGCTCGCCCACCCGTTCGGACAAATGGAAATACCAATTCTGACTCCTGTTTTGCCAGTGGAACGTTTTTGGTCATTCGGGTACGTCTTACGTGGTTGGTAGTCATCATTGATCGTCATGTACACTTTGCCTTTCGTTCGTTTGAAAATGTGAGAATCTGTTCAGCAGCATTCAAATCTTTTCGGGCGATACTCTCGTTGTACTGTAAAAGCTTTTAGTCGGGATAGTGATTGCAATTCCTCGAGCTGCGTTTAAATTACTGAGTTTGCAATATCGAAACATGGGTATTAGCCTTCTGAAAGTAAAGCTTACACCGTAACCCTTACACTTCGCTACAGTTTTTTTCCTGAATTTCCCATAAAAGCTGTTGAGTTGCGTATATATATACTTATATATACATATAGATATATATGGTATATCATATACTGCATCAACTCAATCACCTTTGCGGTTCTATGCAGACTTTATCTCAAAATAATCACCTCAGGGGACATCCACTAAACGTGAAGACCCAGAATAGCCACCTTGATTGCTGGCATCACTCGTTTGCAGCCAGAGTGTGCGGCGTATGGAATTCTCTTCCATCTGATGTAGTATGTTCCTACAGTTGAACTATCTAAATCGCAACTTGATAAATCATTGGAACACTTAAAATTTCAACATCCGTGAGTGGTCGTGCATATTATTATTATTATCATTATTATTTTCTATCTCTGAAGTTATTCAAAAGACTCAGTTTAAATCCTATGGGGCTTGATAGGCTTTAGCTTTGTTAAATCGCCCGTAACAAAACTCTGACTTTGACAATCCGGAATGAACAAATTGACGCAGTGAGCGCGAATTATTGCCTTCCAAGTTGCGGAAGCAGATTGTGTTCCACTCGCTCCTGATGTACGAGTTTATACGATCCTGAAATTGTGGGATTACTGTACTAGATGGAGAATTAAAAAAACATCGTTGGCCGGTTGGTGATTTCCGAATCCCTCAATCCGATACCCATCTATCTTGTCTTCCCGTTATTGGAGCACACGGTGGAACTATAGCATACCAAACATTTATTGTCCATCTGTGTTGTTTACTCGGATGCATCCATACGGGTTTAGTAATCCGTTTCATTTTCCACTCTTTTCAGGTCGATAAAGTCCTCCAACAAGGAGATATTGGCGATATTTTGGAACTTCACAATAAAGATGAAAAGGTACGTAATCTTGATGAGATGATCCTCTCGCGTCGCGTCCGTCGCACAACACGTCCCTCCCCCTCTACAAATTCATCAATCCGCTGTTGCGGATTTCAGTTGGACGTAGTGTCTCATCAGATTGTAACTGCCAGAAATCACGTGATGTTCATGTTGTCCAAATGGCTCTGTTTATTCAAACTAGCCAAAACAAATAGTTCGGTTTTCTCAAACGCGGAAATTCACTCTCACTATTGTTTCCGTTATGAAAAGATCATGTTTGGTCTGTAATATGGTGTGGTACCTGAGAATTGTTCATTTGTTGTATTTTGAAACAACTGACATGTTGATTTAGTCCGTAGGTAGCAACGGAGTGTGTGGTACATTTCGTTGACCCGTAACTTGTCTGGAGCGAGTGGTAGTGCATTTTTGTAGTCTGCTGTTTATTCAGCACCGTTGATAGACGTTGAGCCAGTTTTATGAGATTGGTATTACGGTTAGCCTATCACACTCGGTGTGATAGGCTACCACCCAAATACCGGAACAAATTCCAGTTGTTCGTTTTTCCGAAGATCCCATGCGAGGGTGTGACGTATAACCAAGAAATGTGTTGCTGATGAAAAGTAACTTTTTCGAAAGGGTTGAAATGATTTTTCAGCAAGGTCTTTGCGAATCGATGCGACCGGGCTAGGTGAATTTAGTTTTATCCACTGTGAACTGAAAAGCACGCGTAATCCATCTTCACAAAGTATTTCGTGGTCATTTGAACGTTGCTGGGTAATGGTTCAGCAGAGACGGGTTTTTTTCAACACACGACCCACTAGCTGATAAACTGGTAGCTCATCCCCAATCGATTACTGACTGAACCCATGACTTTGTTCTCTCTATTCTATTTAAATACAGAGTAAATCCAAGTTGCGTAGTATCATTTATTGGTGTTGTCAACGTCTGGGACGTTACCGAATGCCTTTGGCATGGACTGCGATCGATCTAACCGCTCTGTGGATTGAGGCCCGTCGAAGGAAAATCGCTCCGGAGCAACCGCCCACTGAACGTGGACGATCACGAGCGGTGCATCGAAGTAAGCTGATCCATTTTTCATCTTTATTTTACTTCCTTTTATTGAATACACAACGATACAATTTTCAGGAAGGGGGAAGCAACCAATCAAAGGGCTGCCATACAATACACATAATGGGTATTGCACGATTGAAAATTCACGCATCGAGAAACGTGTTTCATCATCCACTCCCCCCCCCCCACCTGCCC